TTTTTTAGAAACTGGTAAGCCCATGTTTTCGCTTGGCGGTACTCACTTTAACCGATTATAATACTTCAGACATCAAAGGAAGCCAGTTTGTCTAAGATTAAAAGTAAAGATTGTAATTAAATATTTTTTTGATATCTACGTTATGCCTGCCATTTTAGGCGCTTGCCTGTCGAAGTTGACCGAAATTAACTTTAGCCCTCGAAATTAAATAAATGATTAGTAATTTTGGTCAGGCCTAAAGTAGCAATTTTAATCAAATGGCAACTCCAAGTATGCATGTACTGTACGTACGTACGTACGTACTTACGTACATGCGTATGTACGACATGTATACCGGCACGTAGATCGATATAATTTTATTTGTGCCGTAATAAGACTTTTCCTTCACTCATAGATGTCCGTATGCAGGTACATATGCGCTTATTATTAAGCTATTAGTGATCCTCGCAGACTGACGATTGGAGTCGGAAAATTTAAAGGTACTCGGTATATCTTGTTGGATGCATGCGGAATGCCTTTAAATGAATACACGTTCCAATCATCAAATTTAACCTACTTTTTGTAATACCTAGAGTAAATCTAACTGGTTCAAAGCTTTGAAATTTAATACGTACGTACACAACATTTTTGTAATGCATTACATAATAACGCGCTATATCGATCAATATAAGGTTATTAAAAACTGTAAGGACTAGCACAAAGTGCAATAGTGGAAGGTGATGAACGTCAAATGTATTTGTTTCACGAAAGCGCGGTTGAAAAGACCAAGTTCGTGAAGAATAGATAACTTTATTGACTTTTTTTTTTTTTGATTTACACCTTTTTTTAGAAAACAACGTTTTTTGTAATAAGTTTCAACTTAATATTTTTTTTTTTTTTAAAAAAATCACTTAAGCACTAACAAACGGTGATTATATTAGTTGATATATCGCTTCATATATAATCATAATCAATCAGATATTTTTTAAGCACCCATATACAGAGAAAACATGAGTGAAAAAGGAACTGCGATCACTTCTAATATAAACTTAGAAAAAAACACTGTAAATGAACCTTTACTTTCACAAGATTTATTTGATTCAGTATTTGGTAATTTTGGAAATACATCTACTATTAGTAACATGGATTTAAGTCTTAAAAAGAAACCCGAATCAGTAAAAAGTGTAAAAAAAGGTAAGAAAGCTGAGAATTTGCATGTTATCAACTATAAGATGATTTTTAACAGATTTTTTTTTTTTTTAAGATGAAAAACCAACACTAGATTTTAGGCAATCATCATCATCTTTCTTGTATTCTTCACAAGGTAATATGAGCGAAAAACTGACGGTTTGTGGAATGATGTTGACTGATATACTTTTTTTTTTTTTTAAGATGAAAAATCCAATAACGTTGACTTTAAAGAACAAATTAACTTTGAATCAAGTGATACAACCGATCAAATTCCAATAACTTTTTCATCCATTTCACTGAATCTTGATATTGGTGGTAAGAATATGTTTAGTCTGAAATGAATAAACATTAAAGTAAATGTTTAATCTAAAAATTTGTTAATATATTGACGCAGATTTTGCAAAAGAAAAATCGTATCAAAAAAATCAAGAAAAGAAAGAAACAAAAACCGAACGGAGATCATTTAGAAAAGACAGATCTGGTGATACGGCAAAATCAGATTGTGGGTGTTTAATAATGTGATTTTAGTTTTATTCAGTAATATATAGTGATTTTGTTTTTATTCAGTAATATATACTACAGTCTCATGTTACTCTTTCTTTTTGGGGTTAATTAATTTAATTATATATTTATTTTTTCTTGGGTTAAAAATGTAAAAAAATTTATATATACATATATATACCATATTTCTTTAAATATCTATTTCAATATCTACTATATTTAAATATTAGATAATTCTATAGAATATATCGTTTTTAAGCACATCCATATCATGTTTGTTTCCCTCTAATATTATTAATTAAACTAAAAGTATCAGATTAGTGTAAAGATCAACTCATGTTATTTACTGACGATTAACGTTTTATGCTTCCCAACTTATTGCAAAGATGTCAAATGCTATGTTACAAAAATATAATTAACATTGAAACATATTAAAGTATTGAACGAGTTGAAAGATTCATGATGAGAATGGATAACCAAGTATTAATGATTCGACAACGTATTGAAAAGGTACCACTCTATTGTTGGAATATCATTAATATTGCTGCCTCATTTTGATCATTTATAAAAAGAATCGGCATGTTGCATTTCATCAGTATGATCTTATTGAGCACGGATTAAAAATGAATGATGCGCTATAATTTTCTGGTGATATCACATCCCTGTAAATAAATGCCGATTGAATTAGTAGTCATAAATACCTTATTTATTTAATTTACTACGGAAAATACGAATATCTATGTCTTAAAAGAATCTATATAATAACTTAATATTTCAACTGAGATCATCATTCTTTATTATTCTGATGTCGTAATGATAAAAGATTTATTTCCATACATGACCGTAAGTATTTTAAATTATTACACATTATAATAGCATAGCGGGCTTTATTATGATTGGCTGATTTCGTAGATCATCTTATCATAGTAAAGTCTTATTAGAGTAACG